CTTGAGTTGAGTCCATATGCCGTTCGGACCCCTATAGTCGGGTATTTGTGCAGAAGTGCTGATTCCAGCGCCGGTATAGACAACCATTCCTTTAGACTCTCGGATCAGTTTGGATAAAAGGTGACACTTGTCTGTCAACACTTGTGGCTCGTCTTCGACTTCTTTGATCCGCTCTTTATTCAACTCAAGTCTTTGTTTTCGCGTCAAAACCAATTCAACCAATGATTTCGATTCCTTTAATAATTGCAAATCTTCTTCGGTTTGATCTGAAGTGCATTTCTTGAGAATCACATGAATCTGACGTTTCCTTCGCCACCAAAACAAATGCATTCATTAATCGGTTTATCAATTGATTGTCTCTAAAGATAACATACTTTGCTCTCAACTCTTCATTGCATCTCATTTTCGTCAAGTGTTTGTCCTTTCGATCCCTTCTTTGATCATTCATTTTGTCCACAATTTTGCAAACAATTAGTGATTAAAATGCAATTCAATTCACACTTAAGTCTAATTGAGTCCACAATTCACTCGCATTTCAATGGCTTTTATCATATGTTTATCAATAGATTTGACGTTTTCTATGAATGAATCGTTGAAATGAACACAACATTAGCTCACTTACAGTCAAACCTATTTATTGATAACATTTAGTAAAATAGATTTAATTACATTTTGATTGAGAATAAGAGTTTATTTTGTTTATTAAACATTAATTTTTTGCATATAATGTGATTAAAAGCACAAAATATTACAATTATTTTTGATAACAAATTAATATTAAATACCAATATATTTACGAGACTTTAGTATAAACTACAAAAACTTTGTGAATAAATAACGTTTAATTTCAATTTAGGTAACAATAATTAAATCAATTAAAATGTATAATAAATTTCAAAGTGTTTTATAAATTAATGACTACTTCTGTTGATCTATAAATAATTTTCATTGTATTTGATCCCATTTGATGGACATCTGAAGACAAAACGAGTGATCAAACAAAATGATAAGATTGCGACAGAGATGTGGTGTTCATTCATAAGCGACGTCGAGAGGCAACGCTTGAGTCTATGATTTCCTTTTCCTGTGCATCACTTCGACCGACGAAATGGTAATACAATTGAAATGCAATTAAATTTAATT